TCACAATGTGCTCTGTAAATATATACAATTATCATGGGTCAATTAAGAAAAAATAAATTAAAATTTTTTTTTCAGAGACAGAAGTAGAGAAGCTACCAGAAACGAGGGGGAAGGAATATTGAGAAGTTATTGCTTAACGGTTACAGAGTTTATGTCTAGGATGGTGAAAAAGTCTTAAAAATAGATGGAGGTAGTGGTTATACAGCATTGTGAATGTAAATAATTCCACACAACTGTGTGTTTAGATGTGCTTAAAATGGCAATCCTTATATATATATTTTACAATAAAGAAACAAAAAATAAAAATAAAAAAGAGTATTTTCAGTGATAAAGAGTTGTTTCATAATGATCAAGGCATAAATTCAAAGGACATTACAATTCTAATCGTTTATGCACTAAATTCTATTATGTGAAACACTGGACTAGGTATTGTGAGAGAGATATTTTTTAAAGTGAGACAGGCGTTTTGCTTTTCAGGACCTCTCTAGCCCTCTGCCCCACCTTGCACTACTTATGTCCTGGTGTCTTCCCTCACATATTGAAGTCATTAGTCCCTAGTTCACATTCCTTCCTGCCACCATGTCTTGGGTGACCTTGTCACTCACTTAGACTCTTGGTTCTTTGACCTCCTCATTTCTAATTGTCTTCACTTCCACTCTAATTCAGTTATATATTCCCAAGACCATTTCTTAGAATATGGTAAACTACTCAGAAATGTTTTGTCTCTAGAATGTTAAGCTGAAGCATCTCACTCTCTGACTACAATCTTTCATGCTTTCACCCTCATTGTCACTCCCACTACACCAATTAAACTTCATTAGAAGTTCCTGTTTCTTAGAATTTCTCCTTTCTCTATCAGTCTCCTATCTTCTCTATGTAGCTGAAAACTCCACACCTTAACACTCTAGTCACTCTCTAACCTCAAGCCATGCATAATTTTATAAGATGATATACTGGTCATCTGGAAATATTGGTTCACTGAATTATGTAGATCTTCTAAATGTTGACAAATCTCTTTATACAATATAAAAAAATTCGCATTCGTTGATATCATCACTGATTTCATCAGAAAAGTCTTTTAAGTATTGGGAAGCTGTCAAGTTTACAGTGGTGATACAAGCTTCCCAAAATTCTAATTTTCACTTAAAAACACAAAATTTATCATAGGCAACCTTTATTGTCAATTGTTCTCCTGGAAGTAACAAGCTCACTTTGTTCATTTTCAAGAAAATGTCTACCAACTATGTAAGTTTGAATACACAATTGCTCATCAGTCTTACAAGCAAAAAATATTTCATGAAAACAGTGACCAGTGCAGTTCACAACCCAACCAATAATATAAGTACTTTCCTCAAGGCAACTATCATACTTTAGTATGCAGCATTATGTATATCTCAAATTCTTCACACTGAATACTAAAAAGACATATTCAAAAGCGGAGATTTAATAAAATTATACTTTTTACTGCTTCTTCAAGCTCTTTCAAATGAAAGTGACACATTTTGTTTTGTTTTGTTTTGTTAACTGAGAGTGTGTAGTGGTGAAGAATACAATGACTACTAGCCAGTTTGTTGCCACGGCCTTGATTCGTGCAAAGGTGCCAACAGTTTTACATCAGTTTAAACATCAACAGAATGAAATAGATAAATAACATCTTAATAGCAATATGAAAATAGTTTTTATCAAGCAGATTCTCTGAAGTGGTTTCAGGGACCACCAGGAAATCGTAGTACACACTTTGAATTGCTGATAAAAAGAAGAAAGGAAGAGAGAAAACTTTTTATAAAGAGACTTTGATGCATCAAATAGTTGACTTAAAGTTCCCATTCTAAAATGTGCACTTGATTCCTTTGACCTTCTTTGTATGTTGGGTAATCTTAGAATTGTATCCTGGACATCATAAATGTTAAATTATGAAGATTCTGGATTCTGCTATTTTTCTCAAATGAGCACTGTTTTTTGTTTATCAGGCAATTATCCCTGTTGAACTTGAACTGTACACTGTTTATTGAGCAGCAACTCCAGTCTCAGTTCAGATATTCTCTTTCATTAAGCTGTTTTGAGTCTGTTAACACACAGGAATGATTCAGGTTTCAGTGAGAGATGTGGGCAGACAGAATTTGGGCACCCTTTCTCTAGTTCTTTCCCTTGCAAGATTCTTCCACTCTCTTCAGTAGCCAAGGTTTCCCCAGCTTCAGTTTTCTAGTTTCCCTGGTCAGAAAGCCCACAGTTTCCCCACTAACACTCTCTCCCCATCCTACTGTCCTCCCCTACACATACTGCAACCTAGCCCCAGACTAAAAGCCTCTCCCCAGGGTCACAGCTCCTCTCCTCTCCTTTCTCAACTAGAGTCTGTCTGTTCTTCCTGTCCAGAGATTTCAGGCAGTTGCTTTTCATATTCCATACAAGCTATACAGAAGTCTTTTTTGCAAGGAGTCATCTGATAGGGTCTTCTTCCATCATCACCAGATGAATATGACCCCCACAGAAGGTTTTCATCTGAAGGATTAGCAAGATGAGATTTGTATTATAAGATTTCTCTGGGTGCTGTGAGAGAAATGGTCTCAAGGTAGCAGACAGGAGATCAATAAGAGTCCACTATAGTCCAGGAAAGAGAGACCCTTCAGAGAATAAAGTACCTAACATACCTCAGTTTAGAGAGATTTACTGAAAAATAATCTGATTAATTTTGAAAATACTGCAACTAATATATCCAAATATTATCTCATCACCTGCTAGCATTATGAACTTGCTAGCATTATGAACTTAACAGTTAATAGGCCCAAACACCTGGAAGTCATTTAATCTAACTCTTAGGTGTGGTGCATTGTAAATCACCTCTAATCCTCCAATTTCCAGAGAATAGGATTTCACTAGGTTTTTCAGTAAATTGTTCCAGCATCTTTCACTCATATATTGCTTGCTAATCTTTCTGGGATGAGAAAAAAAAATTTTTGCTTTTTCCCTCTTGATTTATTATTTCCTAAGATTGTCAAGCAAGGATACTGAATATGTTTCCACCACACAATCATTAAAAACACAGTGATGCTCTTCCTTTCATTAAATTACTGGCGGGGAGAGGAATAAATAGTACCTCACTTTATGTTTTCCTTGGTCAACAACACTGTGTGAATATGTTCCCTTCAATCTATGCTTTTAATAAGAAATTTTCATTGTGATACAGAATCAAAAGACCATGAAAGCTCACTCTGGGTCTTCATCTGGGTGTTGGTTATGTGGCTATGTTCAGTTTGTGAAAAATTCATCTAATTGTCACTTGACATATATACTTTTCTGAATATATGCTGTACATTAATTTTTTTAAAAAGTTTGTGAAAGCACATATATATCTATGGCATGTCCCTTCTCTATAATGCCAATTATTCTCATATTCTCATAGAAAAAAATTCAGTTTATGTAGAATGACATCTTCACAGTTACCCATTAGCACGTTAGTTTTTTTATGATTAAAAAACCTAAAATTCAAATGTTAAAAGTATATGTCTAAATAAAAGTCCTCTATGGTTTCATCTCACAGAGATACCACACAGAACTTAAATTCAAAGGCTATGACTTCCACATCATCCTGTCATAAATAAATTATACTCTTTTCCAAACTTTAGGTATGTCATTTTTTCTCCAAAACATTCTCAAAAATAAAAGAATATTGTTTAGAATCGTTGAATGCCAATAATTGAGCTAAACAAGCTTGAGCACAAGCAACTTTTAAAACATAAATTTCTATTACATACTCTGCAATTTTCAGAGCCTTTGCCTTTTTTATATCCCTCACAATGTCTACCCCAATGCAAGGCATACAGTAGATGTTCAATAAATATGTACTGATGGAAATAAAATTAATTCTCTAAAAGAAATAAGAATAGTCAATTTCAGATGATACAGTAATGTCCTGATTTCATTTTCTGGAAGGAGAGGATATATAAGCCTCTGAAAAGTACTCTATTTTACTTATTGATCTATTATTTATTTTTGCTACTTTTATTTAATCCCCCAGATTCAGAAAGTCTTCTTCTAACCACTCTTTTCCTTACCAAGGGAAAGTTTGTTATACAAGTAGTTACCAAAATAATTAATAGCAATGTAACATCTCTTTATCAACTTCTGCTACTTCTCTCCTCTGCCCACTCTATCTATACAGCAATACAAGAAAACACTAAGAAATAAGTTATCTTAACCATTAAATATTTAAGACATCAAAAAATTAAAACTAAAGTTACTTGTGCAGATTAGCATTTAACATAACTGAGGTCCTAATTTTTTTATTACCACTTCTATGTACTGGTATAAATTAAGATATATGCTTAGTACTAAACATAATATCAAAAAAGATGAACTATTAATCTACAAATCTGATGTTTCACAAAGTATTATCCAACTATGCAGATTTAAAGAGCATAATAGAACTTTTAATAAATATTTTACTATTACTACATAGGAAATGCCAACTTTATTAAAACTAAAGCCTTATCAGTAGCATATATACTATAAATAGAATACCTACAGAATATAATTTGTGCCCCTAATCTGTTTTAAACAATACCTATAATTGAATAATAGTGTAGGTTTTTGAACTATCTTTAATAATGGTACAAAATGAATCCTACTATATTGAACAAGAAAAATGTACTTTAAAATCATCTAAATAGAATAATCTCAAAAATTTTTATTTTGTTGAAATTTAAAAGCAGACATTTACCTTTTCAAAAATAACACTTGTATTTTAAATAAATTACCTAAATACTTTTTAAAATTCTTCTTTGTTTTATTAAAGTGTTATGTTTTAAGAAAAACTATTCCTAAATAAATCACTGTATTAAATGGTGTGGAGAATTAAAATAAAATTCTATTCTAATATTCCACTTGTATTGGGCTATACACTAAATGACATTATTCATTAAATTGCCAATTTGCTTTTGAGGTAAATGTTATGTTAGGCGTTTGCATATGAATTTGATTAATTATTTTAGCTAGTTACTTACTGAGAGCCATGCAAGGGATTCCATGATTCGATGTTCACATCGCTCTAAATGTTTTATCATTTCTCTTGTCAAGTTGGCTTCTGCTTTGATAAAACTTTCAATCACTTTGTAAAAATCAAAGGCTTTTAAATTAAGTACATTCAGAATCCATGGGAAGGATAAATCTGTTCCAGAATCAAGATTCTGAGATGTACTTCCTAAAAATGAAAGAAAAAATGTAACTTGAGTATGAAATGTTAAGACTTAAACTAGGTATTTTTGTTTGGAAGATTTTATCAAACAAAGAATTAAAACACAGTACAAAGTTAAACAATTTCTATTTAGAGCAGAATTTTTTATTCTGGAGTCTACAGACTCCTAGGAAATAGGCTTCCAAATTTTCCATGTATGTGTATGTACGTTTTCCCTAGAAAAAAGGGCTCAGAGCTTATACCAAATTTTCAACCAATCCCTACATCGAGGACAGTGTTAATATCTAACCAGCAATCTATTAGCATATCCATTTTAATTCCCTCATTAATCCTTGGTGGGGGAAGGGAAGTATTCTTTAAGGTTTTGCTAATTTCATAAAATTAGAAAATGGCATCCTTTTTAAATTGTGCATGTCTTGGTTATTAATGAGGATTCACAGCTTTCCATATTGCTTAATAATTTAAGTTCCTCTTTTATTAACTGTGTATTTGCATCCTTAGATAAATGTAACTCTTGTTTCTTCAAGCAAAACTATTTTTTTAAAACATTTGCAACATTATTTGCAAAATAATACATATTTAAAAGTATATTTTAAAAAAGCACTGTTACTGGTCTTTGTTCTGTTTATTTGGTAGACTTTAGCTCCAACCTTTGGTCTCATAACCATAGATGTTATAGTAGTGCTTCCCTATCAGTAGAGGCTGCTCCTTAAAACTCCTTTGGCAATTTACAACCTCACAGGTCTTGGAAGGGATTTCAATAGGTACCTTTTCTGGATTCAGTATGCTCAGAACAGAAGCCTAGTGAAATACTATCTCCAAGATGACCTGAAACAATTCAGATAATAAGCCACTTAACTGGCTTATGATGATCAATTACATTCTTCAGTATATTCTGACCTAAAATATGCATTTCTTCTCCTTAATCCCACCCTGGCACACCCCCCAAAAATAAAACACACCACGCCTTAGGTTTTATTTTTTAACTTTAAGTTAAACTAAAATGTTTATTTACTAAAATTTAACTTACTGCTATATGTAGCCATTACAACCTCAAGAGCACAGGCCAATAAAGACATATGAAAGATGTTGTCATTCAGAAGTTTGCTAAAAGGAAAAAAAAAATGAATGATTTCAAAATTCTTACTTTAAAAAAAGAAAAAATTGTTTTACTAAAATTAAAATTTTACCTAAAATTTTGAACAGATAATCTTTCTTCTTCCTAAAAGAATTAAAACAAAAAAAGTTTAATTGAAATCTTATTTGTGTCAGCATTGAATTTTTTTTCTATTATATTCTTTTAACTTACTGATTTAAGCATGGATTCCATTACTCGGTAATACAAACGGACTCCGAGTTTGTATCTCTACAAACAAAGAAAAAGAAAAAGAAGATCTCACTATTTTAGAAAATCACAATTATTACTAATTTTTTAAAAAGTTACTTCTTGATGGGCCGGCCCGGTGGCGCACTGGAGAGTGCGCTGCTTGGGAGCGTGGCGGCGCTCCCCCTGAGGGTTCAGATCCCATGTGGAGACCGGTTCTGCTCACTGGCTGAGCGTGGTGCGGGTGCAACACCGAGGGTTGCGATCCCGTTGCCGGTCCCCAGTACGGGCGTGACACCGAGGGTTGCGATCCCATTACCCGTCAGTAAAAAAGACAAAAAGGAAAAAAAAAAGTTACTTCTTGAAACATATTTCTGATCCTTCTTAGGAATGTGGCTCCAAGAAATCACAAAAGCTAGCTTGTCTAAAACTCAAGACTTAAGTATAAAGTGATGGTTAACATTCCCAGTAAGTTATCAAAGGTCTAATACCTGGTTTTCCTTCACCCCATTTCAGTCTACACTAAGGATAGGTAACATGCCTGGTAGTACACACACACACACACACACACACACACACCATATAATTGGTATCCTTATAAAAAGAGGAAATTTGACACACACACACACACTCACTCCAAATTAAGAGCCCAAATTTCATATACCATCAAAAAGAACTTTTTAATATAGTTGCTTAAAACACTGACATCAGCAAAATATAACCTCACTATACTGAAATAAATATATATAGTGGAGTATAGTTTTCAAACATATTTTTATATATTATATTCATTAATGCCACATAACAAAGCAGGTCAAATACAGAACCTGAATCTCAGAGAAGTTAAATGACATGTCTAAGATCATACAGCTCATAAATTGTACAACCAGATATAACCCAGGACTGTAACTCCAGAGCCCATACTCTTACCCAATATACTGGTTTCAGATTTTGTGAAATAAATAATATCAGAGAAATGGCATGTATCGTATGATCCCATTCATGTTAATATAGGCATACATAAATATTAATACATGTAGAAGTCAAAGTACATATACCCAAAATTTAATAATATCGAAGATTTTAGGTTTTTTTCTTACTTGTACTTTCTAAAATTTCTACAATTGGCATGCGCACTTTTGTTTTTTTATAATGGGGTAAGTGGTGGTTTCCCACAAACAGCAGCATACAGAGGGGATATAGTATTTGACAGTATTTTATATTATTGGACAAATACTATTACAGTATTTATACAATCTGGACAGATGCTACGTTTAAAATTATCTCTATATAATAGTGGCAGTAATCCATATGAACTCATTACCTGTGATCCAATTTCAACACATCCCTGTCCCACAGCTTTAGCAAATTTCTCTTTAAAGATGTATCCAATATCCTTCACTCTTTTCAGGATACTTTCTTTTGGATTCACTGTGCAATTCTTTAAGAGGTATAAACAAAAATCAATGTTAAGGATACTGTTTAATCGGAATTAACATTTTCTGCTCCATAACATATCTTTTAGCTTTCAACTGTTTATATAAAAATGTGGAAAGACTTCCACAATAACTAGGTAAACGCAAATACTGAAAATAAGCAGATGATAAAATTTCATTGTATGTTAGTAAGCAAAAAATACTAGAGTATAACTTAAAAAACCCTATTTTCTAAATTTTCTGCTGCTAGGCTAGGGAATAGCAGATTTGTTAGCCCTTCCATCCAGCAAAAAGAGATGTATCATTCTCATAAAATATCTTTAACTAACAGTTATATCGAGATGTGTGTTAACCCCCAAAAAGCAAATGGAGAAGTAAAAGTAAGATTTGAGCTTGGTATCATTTTCTTCCCCCCCCCCCTTTTTTTTTTTGGCATCTGGCCAGTAAGAAGATATGAACACATGGGCATCATTTTCTAATTTAAAAACATTCTTTGAAAGAGTTAAGAATTAGCTAAATCATTTAACTACATTGTCAGGAACACAAGATAGGAAAATAGTTACAAAAGAAGTTCCAATGCATGTATGATTAAGAGTGAGGCTATATCAACTTTAATAATTAAAATGCACCACAAGATGATGTATTAAAATGTGTATTATGATACATTATTATATTCTGTAATTCATATTGTAATCAAATGCATTCAAAATATTATACATTAGAAAACAAACTTTCTAAAATTAAGATTAATTATAATTTTCTCTATAATGTGCACATTGTCATTCAAAAATTTCACATTCCAGAATATCAATAATTCTATATTCTTGAAAGGGAATAGCACACAAATACTAGAAACATATAGCAAGGAAGCATTTCCTGTTATAAAATCATTGTTGCCAAAACATACATTAAAATGTCTACAGCTTCTAAGATTTTACACACAGGGAAGATGAGATTAATTTTTTAAATGAAGAAACCTGAACTAATAAAGAACAAATAAATAAAGGAAAATCATAATGACCTTCAAGATATCCCCACTCTGAGATAGGAAATTTGTCGCCTACATAAAACTTTGAAGTTAAGCTGTTAAGCTTCATTAAAAGTTAAGCTTTAAATTGAGCTCCAGAGAACATCTTTGAGGTAGAATTTTTTGCCCAACTAAAGTAATTCAAATTAAAAAAGAACTCCTACAGTATACTCCAAATGTAGGAGAAAGTATTCAAAATGGTACTTAAGAGGACAGATATCCCTCTTTTAAATTCTATCATTATCCCTTGTTAAAAGTTCTAAGTAATTGGATAGATACGTTTTGGCAAATATTCTCGTGCTAAAGAAAACCCATAAACAAAAGCAACTTTATGCAAGTTTGAAAAAGAAAATTGGTTCTGAGCCAACATAATCATGAATGATGACAGAAATTTCTTTGCTAATTGCTGGGGAAACACAGCAAGAGATGACAACAGAACATGACAAAATCACAGGCAGGTATGATAATAAGTGAATTATTAACAACTACAGAAAGCACATAGTTACTGGAATAAACCAAATTTTATTAATTTTAATAACCAAATTTTAATAAGGCCTTATATCCAATTTCCATGGATGAGCATATCAGTGGGTTCTAACACTCATCTGAGTTTAAATAAGGAGTAAAGGAGCAAGCAAGCATTACAGATGCTAGTTTTCATTCTCTTTCTCTCTTCCCTTTTTTTTTCAGAGGAGGGAAGGTAAAAGGGGACTTCAGATATCAAACTCAGGGTCTATTACGAGTTACAAACTGCAATGTGCACAAGGCCAGGCAAGAATTGTAAATGACAATGGGTTGAATATAGGCTAAAAAGACTTCAGGGCGATGGTGAATGTTAAGTCTTATCTAACATCACATTCAAAGAAAAGATCTTAAAAGTAGCCAGAGAGAAAAGATAGATTCTTAACTAGCAATAGTGGGTGCCAAAAAATAGTAAACTAATATCTTCAAAATAGTAAAGTATCTTCAAACTTCTAAGAGAAAACCTAGAAATTAAGATTCAGCTAAGTTATCTCACAAAAAATAAGGGTAAAGATATGTGCAAACAAACAAACAAAAAATACCCTTGTAAGTCCATCCCAAAGTAACCTTCCTAAAGGAGTAATAAAGGATATATCCGAAGAAGAACTCAGAAATGAGGTCAAAGTTTCAAAAAACAATGGCGAATAAGGCAAATAGCAAAAATAGGAAAATCTAAAAATAATACTATCTAAATAAAACAGTATTAATACAGTATCTAATTTGGAGGGTTAAAAAAACAAGAAACAAGATAATAAATAACCACATGTTGAACAGTAAGTAAATGTTTTAAAAAATATTCAGTACTTTAACTTCTAATTTCAAACTTCTTTACCAAGATATTACAATAAATAATGTTTCATCTATGGCTTACATTAAAATAGGAAATCAGATTTTCTGATGGTTGATCATTTGCTGAATTTAAAATCATCATTAATTGTTGGATAGTATTCATAACAGTCCTAGAGGGAAAAAAAAACAGAAAGAAGTGTTAAGCAATGAAAGAAGAAAAAAAAAAAAATGTTCTATCTCTCAACCTAAATGTATCTTCAAACACACTGTCTCCCATTTATCTTTAAGAAGGTCCCTGAAATAAGACTTTACCAAAAAAAACCTAGTATACAGTTGTTTACAAGAAATTACATTTTACTTAAACTTTAAGAAAAGATGTACTCATAATCAGTAAGTTTATATAGAACTGATGTACTTATTTACTAATGAATAAAATCAACAGATACCAATAAGACATTAATTGGTCAAACTTATGACATTATTTTTAGGAGAAAATATATAAGCTGGCATCAAAATTATTATTACAATTAAATATTAAACACTTTCCAATAAAGAAAATAAGATATTTAGTAACAAGTAAAAAATCAAATGATTCTCCTTTACAAAGATCTTCAAGAAGAAAGGATACTAAGGTCCTGGATAATTTTAAAAGTCACCATTGTAAAGGCATAAAATTGGTCAATCTCTTAAGGTTTCTTTAATCCTGTAATTTTATGTGTGTGTGGTGTATAGTACATATTAATATTCTAATTTTGGAGTAGCAGTATATTTGAGTCACGTTTAATGGTGCAAATAATTGTACAATGCTTAGGATTTAAAGGGTCCTTAAGTATTATTTAGTAAAACATGTTCAGTGTTCTCAGCCAAGCCTCTCCCAACTGGTATCTGGATTTCTTCACCCTCCAAATATATTGCCATGGGGCTTCTATGCCCACTAATCTATTTAAGCCACAATGACTAAAGCCACAAATGACCCACTGCTAAAAAGACCTCATTTATTCTGATACTTGAATTCCTTGAAGCACTGACACTCTTAAACACTTGCTCTTTCCCAGACCTCCCTCCCTCCCTCGGCTTTCTTGGTTTCACTCTCTGAGCTTCCTAACCACACCTTATCATTCTCTAAAACCTAACCACTTCTATATGGTCCTTAAATGCTACTATTCTTTAGGGTTCAGTCCTTAGCCACCTATTCTTACCATTATATACCCTCATTTCAGGCAATCTCATCTATTTTTATGGTTTTAACTCCCGCTGATGATTCCCAAATCTATACGATCCTCATATCCCACTGCTTACTAGATAGCTTCATCATAAATGCTTCAAAAACAACATTCTAAATATAAATTCATCAAATATTTATGAAACCTGTTCTTGCTCTTTCATTCCCACTGCCACTCTATCGGTTCAAATCTTCAACATCTCTCAATTGAACAACTGTAATAGACCAATCCAGATATTTTCACTCACTATGTCTGTGGTAGTAAGGACTAGGCATGTGTACTTTGAAAAAATTCCTCAAGTTGTTCTAATTTTCACCCTTGGCAAAGAACCACTGAGACAACTTGACAGGTCTCTCTATTTCTCACCTTGTCTTGTCCTCCTCAGTCCATCCCCTCACAAACTACTACCATGTAAACTTGCAAAAAACAAGCCTGATTTTATCCTTACCCCTGCTTGATATCAATTCAGAGCATAGGCTATACCATGCAAGAGCTAAAGTCCAAACTTGCGAGTATGGCATATAAGACCCCTCATGTCTGCACCCACCCTCCTCTCCTGCCATTTCATCCTCTCATTTTACTGTCGATCAGTACAGAGCTGCTAATATTTTCCTACACACATTGTGTTGTTTCACACTTCTGTGCCTTTGCACATGCCGTTCCCAATCCCTAAAATGCCTATCCCACATCATGGACCATTAATGTGTTTCGAAATTCGGTTCAGACAAGGCTTCATCAAGTTCCTTCTGTGCTATCTCACTAACTTGTACAAAAGAGCTTGAAGAAACTGAGAGAAAGCCAATGTGTAGATAATGCAGAATGAGCAAGAAAACAAGATGAGGTTGGAGAGGCAACAGAAGCAGATTATATAAGGTCTTATAGACATTGTTGAGGAATTTGCATTGTATTTCAATTACAACGGGAAGTAATCAGAGGGTTTTAACAGCAGGGTGAACATGATCTGATTTACATTTCTAGAATATTATTCTGGGGACTCTGTGGAGAATGTTGTGGAGTTTCGATGTTGGGGAGAGAGAAACAGTGATGAGAGCGGAAGCAGCAAGACCAGTTAGTCTACTGCAAAAAATCCAAGACAGAGAGAAATACGTCTTAGACAAGGGTGGTGAGAGTAGAAATAGAGAAAAGTAGATGCACTCAAATGTTTTGAAAGCAGATTCAACAAGACTTGTAACAGATATAGATGGGGAAAGTGAGTGAAGAAAAGAACATAAAAATAGTTCTAATCCTTCAAGGTTTTATGCACATCAAATGGTGCTATTGTTTTCTCTGTTTTATTTACTGAGATGGAACACATTTCCACTCTAGGTTATGTTCCTTAAGGACAGACAGACTAGGTCTGATAAGCGTATTCTCAGTAACTAGTAAAACATCCAGCACACAAGGAATACTGAATATACAAGGGTACTTCAAAAAATTTGTGGAAAAATAGAAGTGAAAAATAATACGAATCTTTCCATAAACTTTTGAAATACCCTTGTGTGTGTGTTACATGTGTGTACAAACATAGAATGAAACAAATGAACAAATTTGAAGCACTTACAGCATTGAAAAAACAATAATAATGAAAATCAAAATCAGGAAAATTCATACCTAACTGGAGTGTGTGGAGGAATTGCATTCACCTCTTCATCAGGGTTAATTTTTCGTGGTGTTCTCTGTGGTTCAAAACTAAATAAAGGTAAGTAAAGTCATTCATACTGAAAATTTACAACTTGTTCTTTATACATCAAGAAAGCATTATATACCTTTTGTTGCCTCATAACATCACATAAAATGGTAAGTTAATAATAGAAGTGACAGAAAATAGATGACCCAACTGTTGCTTAAATAAATAAAATTCTATTTTTTCACCATTGTTTTTAAGTGTGGGTCTCTTTCTACTAGGTTTATGACAAAGAGCTTAATGACCAATCTTTAAGATTTTTTTGTACTTAAAGACATTAAGTACTTAATGACCAATCATTAAGTATTTTTTTGAAAGTGAAAGATGTTTTCTCCCTGGTGGTATTAATAACCAAGTTGTTCAATATTAAAAACATCAATGCTCAAGTTTTTAAATGCATTATGCTTTCTAAAAACTTTATTTCCATTTAAATAGAATTAAAAACATTTTACTCGTGTTTAATTTCCAAATTACATATAATATTTTGAGTTTCACATGAAAAGATTTCATGCTAAAGACATAAAATTAACCTAACATATGATCATTAAAAATTTTTTATGATTACTCTCAACCATTTCTATTTTAGAATTCTACATGATAATCAAGAGAATATACTTTTGTATTGGTTTTCTTAAAAAGCTGAACCAGCCTGGCAATAGTAGATGAAAGGATGAAAAAAAAAGAGCCCACAACTTGAGTAAACTAATTACTTCAACAATTTTCTCTTGGTTAACATTTTTAAAATTATATTCAGCTAACTGTTAATATAACGCAATTCACATTAAATCTCTATCTGTTAATAAATTATATGCTTAGAATACTGGTAACCTTTTCTTTATATAAAGGTATTTGAAAGTAATTTATTATAAATAATATTTAAAGGCCACTAAGTTAAATAAAAACCTATTAAACCTACCTATATCAGTAACAGCCTATATCAAAAGCATATCAATAAATAAAAACAGAGCACATATGATACCTGTCCATAGGATCCGTCTGAAGAGTTTTGTCATGATCCAAAAATAATCTTGCATCTAGATCTTTGTTTTTAAGATAAACTTCTTCATATCGTTTAGAGAGGCTTTCAACCTCAAAAGAAAAAATACTGACAATTATCCTTTTCATGTCATTACATCTCTCAGCACACAGAAGCACAGATGTTTTACAATGCAGTAATGCCAATAATATTGATGGTATTAATCATGGATTCAATGCTTAAGGATGTGCAGCAAAGCAAACAAATCAAATTTGATTGTGTGTAGTTATATTTAGCTATTTAATGGCATTCAGAAATTTAAAAGCCTACACTTTGATTTTTGAGAAATTTCAGTACAAATCAATTTCAAATACAAATCACAAAATGATTCTCATTCATATATTTGAATATATATTCAAAAATTTTTTTGCTACTATACAAAAGTTGGTTTCACCACAATTCAATTTAGCTAGATTCCTTTCCTTGGGCAAAAAAAAAAATATTTGATAGACAGTAAATTGATATCAAGAAAGTTAGACAACTATCTCCCTTCCCCCAAAATCGCAAAGCATATTAATTTTTTATTAAGTTTTTTTTAGATTACCTCTGGAAGTCCATTAGAAGCCACAATTCCAAGAGAATTCATAAAAGGTATAAAATTTTTGAAATAAACATTTTTCACCTGAAAAATACATGACCATTAAAATTTAAAACAAAACAAAACCTAATCTTTGTCACTATTAACACTAGAATGAAAGTGTAATTGACTTTTGATCACTGTCATACATTCAAGCTATATGATATTTATTTATAAGTAATTCAATTATTTACTTTTTAACGTATGTGAGGCAAATTTCAGGTCCTAAAATGGAGGTAAGTAGGGAACTGTCAATAAAATAGGACTTATGGGAAGAAAAACCATTGAAACCAACTTCAATATTCCACATATAACAAATGATAAAAAGACAGAACACAAAAAAATTAAGCAAGCTGACCAAAGCTGCACAGCTACAGAGTGACAGAATGGAAATTAAAATACAATCTGTCTACCATTAAAGCCAAGGTTCTTTTCACTTTTCTATTTTGGGGTCACTTCACACATAGGTCATCTGTTATCTGCTCAAGGAACATCAAGTCAATTGTTTGAGAATAAATTTAATAATTTCACACACAAAATTAACTCCCAATAATTCATTTCAAAACCAAATAAATACCTTTTGTGGAATTATGCATTGTTTCATGCAAAAGCACCCTACAGTCAATGTGGATTTTTAAAAAATGCACTGAGAAAATCCTGAGTCACAATCATGACTATTCTACACATGTAATGTGTTATAGGATTTTAAACAACTTGCTTTTCTTTACTGAACTTCCTTTTCCAAACTTGGAGCCCATTAAGGTAAGAATAATATCAGTTCCTACCTTCTACTTCACAAATAAGTTGTAAGAATTAAGTCTCTAAAATACTTTTCAGTTTTTTTTTCTGATTAATTCCCACCTACCTAGAATATTTATAAAGTAGGTAGTTCTAATTACCCAGCTAGTATGACTAACCAATAGCTACATAACTATAAATACTATATGTAAATAACCAAGTGTCAATTAATTAAAATACCACTAAAGCTTTTAATCAATTATACTTTAAAATTCATAACTATAGATTCCAAATTCTAAGAAAGAGTTCTTCAAAATAAAAAGTAAAAAAAAAGATGACTTATTCTTAATCTTAAAAACCAAATTTTACCAGTACTTCTGAAATCCAGAGAATTAACAACCAGGAATTAGTAAACTGCATTTACTACTACTCATTATCTTGTGAATAAGCAACTCATTATCCTGTTAGTAAAAAGAAATACATCAACTACATTTGTCGGCTTATTTGCAAAGATAATTTGTGATTCTTGAGAAGTAAAAAAGTAATATATATATATAGATAGATATAGATATATATATATATAACATTTATATATTAATAGCTACATATATTTGTTTAAATTAACAAGAGCCACAGTACTAAAACCTAGATAGCTTGATAAGTCATTCTAATACTTAAACTAGATTTTAGGACCATACCCCCATTTATTCCCAGAGTTGACAAAGAAATTTCAAAGACGCAACATTTCATGCTGCTATTTGGTGATATGAATTGTGGACAATATAACAAACTATGAGAGAAACAGTGTGGTAGAGTGAAAGGACTAGTACTAGATGTCCCAAAGTCTAGTTTAGACTCTGTTAGTAATGAGCTATCAGTCTCTGGAAGCTTGTTTACTCATTACTAAAAGTAGGTTGAGTACATTATTTGTAAGGTCTCATCCAATTCCAACATTCCAGATTATATAAACAAGTAATTCCTGGGTGTTCATGTGTATTCTTCATCTGCCATGAACATGTGGTGTAATATTTAGAAAGAGAGTAATTACAGAAGGCTGAACAGAAATTTAATGTTGATATCACTTATCACTAAATAAAAACACCAGAGTTTTCTTGGAAGGGTATTTTAAAACATTAGGGGTATCAGTAACCTCAGAAGAATCAAAGAACAAATATATTTGAAAACTATTGTCTTGATGATATATATTTCAGTGATTCCAGAACAAGGGACCTACTCTCTTCAAAATCAAAGTAATTGAGTATGAAAAATAGTTTTTCTAAATATTTTGCTACTGCAAAAAAGTTGGCACTAATTACAAAAAGCATGATTATCACAAAAGTATTACTATTAGGAAGAACTTACATCTAAATCTATGTTAACTGTTTTAAAGAAATCATGAAGTTAAATTACCTCATCCATATTACATTCATGTTCTTTACAGAGAACTTCAATAATTCTTGTATCATTTTCTAGTTGTTTTGCTATCCGTGCACTCCTGTTCTGACCTCGCCTGGGTGTTCGAGGTGAACCATTAATGGGTATTACAGCTGTTTCTGTAAAAATGTTAAATTAGACAAGAATAATCGCACATTCCATCATATAAAAAATGAAGTATTCTAATTCAGAAGTTTAGAAATAATTTTTGGTAACATTCTACTATTTTACTTATTAGGCTTCATTAGAAGGATAACGAATTCATCTGTTTATTGAATACCTATCTTAAGTTACGCACCGCTATTAGGTTTTTGGGGGGGTTTTTTTGTCCTTTTTGAGACCGGCCACACTGCGCTCAGCCAGTGAGTGCTGAGCGCACCGGTCATCCCTATATAGGATCCAAACTCGCGGCGGGAGCGCTGCTGCGCTCCCAGCGCCGCACCCTCCCGAGTGCGCCACGGGCTCAGCCCCCGATATTAGTTTTTGCCATCCCTATTTCTCCTCTGCCCCCAAACAACCCAAAAAGAACTATAAAACACCTACAGCTCCATAAACAAATGCAAAGAAAAGGCCAGGGAAATGGCCAATTTATAAACTAATTCTAATTGTATCCTATCAGTCTGCAAAAGGAAAAAATGTTTTCTATCTTAGAGTCTTAAAAATAATGAGAAAATTATTTATGGATTCAATTTCTAGACATAGTATAAAAATAAATTTAAAAATTTTAAAGTTTTAATAAATCACTGTGTTTTTAAAAGACAGGCATGTAAATACAATAATGCAATAATAAACTCTGATTTTTTTAAAAATCCCCTGGATTATTTTGAGCACTCCCAATTCAAACTAAATATAGGTTCTGTTATTAAAGAGATTACAAATGATTAAGAATAAAAAGTATTCATTGCCTCTAGACCCAACCAGCAACTTATAAGAAATTGAGAGGACAGAGGAACATGTTAAATTATACTGCAAGATACAATCAGCAAAAACTAGAATGTGGGAAACTCAAATGTGATGTTTTGAATCTCAAATGTGATTATTTAATAAATACATTTTAAGGAAATAAAACAAGAAAGACAGATAGAAAGGAACTTTTAAAAGAGTTTTAGAAACATGTCAATCAATCACAAAGTACAGATCTTATTTAGATTCTGATTCAGTCAACCTGTAAATTTTTTTTTAATTACATTTATAAGATAATTGCAAATCTAAACACTAGATATTTGGTAAAATAAGAAATCACTATTCATTGATTTTTTTTGTCTGTGATCCTGTTTTTTTTTGCTTTCTTATTATTTTTTTTAATTTTAACTTCTCTATATACATTGTAGTTGATTTTTGAGACCCTTTATCCGTTCCTCTTTCTCCCCTCCCTTTCTCCCCTCCCCCCGCCACATCATATCTGTTCACTTGTCTTAAGTTCAAGGAATTGTTGTGATTGTTGTGTCTTCTCCCCCACCCTTTGTTTGTGTGTTTATTTATTTATTTTTAGCTCCCACAAATAAGTGAGAACATGTATTTCTCTTTCTATGTCTGACTTGTTTCACTTAACATAATTTTCTCTAAGTCCATCCATGTTGTTGCAAATGGTAGTATTTCATTCTTTTTTACAGCAGAGTAGAATTCCATTATGTAGATAATGGTACTGTCATTATACTTTTAAAAAAGTCTTTATCTTTTACAGATAAATACTGAAATGTATAAGGATGAAATGGTGGGCAAAGATGTGCTTCAAAATAATACAGCTGTGGGGGCTGTGAATTGGCCAAGAGATGCTGCTACAGACTGACCATCAGTTATCTGTTGAAGCTAAGTGATGAATACATGGAGGCTTATTATACTACTGTCTGCTTTTGTATTCATTTAAAATTCTCCATAACAAAATTTAATGAAGAGTTTACTATACTCAGTCAATTCAATACCTCATCCTGGTTTCTCTTTAACACAGCACTTAAAGAATTAAATGTGAATTTGAATTATCCAAGAGAACAAAGACTGTCAACCTAAAGTAACACACTACATCAACTTATTAAAGCTGTTAACGCTGAAAAAAAAAATGAGGAAAAGGCAGATAAAGGAAATTTTAAAAGGCTAGGAAAATTCTGAAGTCTGTTGATTGTTTTCTACATATAATTTTTTTAATTTCTCGCTCTGCTTTGTATAAGATTTCTGCTAAATGAAGGTTTCTGCCTTCTCTGCCAAACCATGTTCAGCATGTTTTCAAAATTCTGTTACAGACTTTACTTTTCCATTAAGTTGTTGTTCACAAAGATTAATTAGGCTTCAGCCTTTAAGCTACTTCAACACATTCAGACTTACGTGTTTTGATCTATCTGTTATTTTTAGTATTATTATTAATACTGTCATCATTTAAGGAGCAAGGAATCAGTCCAGCCGTAGTTAAGTTTTAATTTTTCTGCAGTATAATAAATAATTTTGAAATCTTATTCTTGAAGCTGCCAAAGGAAGAAATTCTAGTCTAAGAGGAATCTACCCATCTTTGATTAATGCTAATTAAATTAGCAATAGTTTTTATTTAAATTCACTTCCCCTCTCATCATCCACTGAAACAATATCAATTACAGTTCATATACAAAAAAAAAAATCAATCACATAGTTATTACAGCATCCAATACTAATAAAAACTTAGTTAACCTGATCCTGTAGAGATGGACTACTTTCTCTCATGCCGTTTCATTCATATCTGTCTTGTCTTTTGCTTTTCTTTATTGAAAATACCCTCCCCCAGCTTCTTTACTGGTAGTGCTTTCCCCCTATCCTAACTTCAACATTCATTCCAAATACCACCTCTTGTATACGGTATTCTTTGGCCTTCCATAGCTGGGAAAACTTTCTTATCTCCTGAACTCCCATAGCATTTGCTGTATCTATATTCTGACCCAGATCACTTCCTACCATATACTCTATTTGCTTATCTTTCCTTTTATAACTTATGCTACTTGAGGTTAGAGTCCATGTCTGATTTATTTTTTATCATCCTCTCAGCTTTAGAACCATGTCTGGTATCTACTAAACATTCAATAAATAACTACCGAATGACAAACTAGGAGGGGTATATTTAAAATACTTACTGTATGGTTCTTTGAGCAATGCAGGAGGTGAAAGTTTGATAAAATAGTCAAGAACACACAGCATTAACTGAAATGAAATCACCAGATCATCTTCCATTTGTAATACATCCCCTGAAAATAAAAAAGTTCACATTTTTTTTAAAAGTCAGAGATTAAGATCTTTAAGTCAGAGAAAATTGTGGGTGTGGGTGTATCCATATACTTCTCCATTCAACAATCTCTAGAGGCATGGTAAAGATTTTTTCCTTTTTCCTTTTTGCAAAAAATCAAAATCAGGTTTAAACTACATAAAAATATAAATAAAAATATATAAAGTCATGAAGTTATAAATCAAGTATAAATCTACCCTGAGAATTTTACATTTAAGTTATTATAATAATTCATTCCTTATATCTAAAATCATTTTGCTTTTTAAAACTTATTTCCAGTTTTGGTAAGAGCTATAGAATTTATTACTTCTGAAAATAATTTTCAAATATGATACATGCTAATCTTTAATTCTAATTATATAAAAAAACATCACATATTTTAAATTTTAACACCCCCCCCCCAAAATATTACAATAACCAAAGCCATTAAGAAAAAACAAAACTAGGGCCGGCCCGGTGGTGCACTGCTACAGTGCGCCACTTGGGAGCGTGGTGGCGCTCCCGCCAAGGGTTTGGATCCCACATACAGACCGGTTCCCGCTCACTGGCTGAGCGAGGTGTGGGAGCAACACTGAGGGCTGCGATCCCGTTGCCGGTCCCGGTCCGGTACGGGCGCAACACTGAGGGTTGCGATCCGTTGCCGGACACGAAAAAAGACAAAAAGGAAAAAAAAAAAAGAAAAAACAAAACTAGTATATAATTGTAAGGTCATCTATAAAATAATTACTTGGTACAAAAGCCTAAAAGTGAATACAAACATATAAAACTAGAGCGTTATGAAAAAATAAATGCATATATTAGATACCTGAAAAAAAAAAGTGTAGTTACACAAAATATACAAATCATGATTGTGAGGAAAATAGAATAGTTTAGTCAGGCTCCCTCCACTCAGGTCTGGTTGGGGGTCAAGCAGCACATTTCTTGTAAACAAGTTGTGTGTGGGTGGAGTTAGTTTTCTTTTGTTGCTATTGTGTGTTCTTGAGTTTGTGAAACAGGCTGGATGGCAGAGCTCGAATCTAAAAATAGAGCATGTTTACTCTGCTGGCAGCTCCTCAGTTTTTCTCTGGACTTTGCTAGTACCAGTTGAGTTTCTGAGCTTCTCTTTGGACTGCCTAAGCTCTTAGACCTGTGTGTGCTGAATAAAGACTACTCTTTCTTCAACCAAGGCTCCAAGGACCTTTGTCCTGTTACCTAGCTCATAGACCTGTGTGTGAAGGGTTTGTAACCCAGTCTGGACAATGGGCTTGAGAGTTCTGTGAGCTCCGGACCCAGCCCTAGCTCTACAATGATAAAATAAAACTACTACATATTTGCTTATGGCTATATGTTATGCATTATTTTTAAAAGAGAAGTTTAATTTGATTCACTCTCCACCTTCTGAGTATCTCACTAATAAAGCACTAATAATTCCAACAAGTATCAAAAGTGCAGAAACTGTGAGAAAGCAGGTAACCCTGAATCAGATAAGTTTTCTACATCCATAAGTATGATGCAAAAACTGTTTGCAATATACTCAGAAGTAAGCCATTAAGGAATACCACAGAGGTAAAGAATGATATCAAGGACCTCTAGGTAAAAACAGTAGAGTGAAGTCAGATGAAAGGATCTCTCTCCTCCAAAACCTAATAAAATGAAAGGAAAAAATTGTACTGATTAAGTGCTAGTACCAATACCAAATTTGAGAAATACTAACTCAGAGGTATCCTCATCTTTCTTCTCTTCTGACTTAGTGGGAGTAGAAATTACTGGTGAGAGAAGGGTAAAATAGAAGGAGTAAACAACTATAGCTAACTTCTTGACAAAAGTAGAGACTCCAGTATACTGTGCTAAGCTGGGAACACTCTGAATCCCAGCACATTCCCATTATGGAATATAACTGCCACTTGAAGTGTTCTGTTACAGAGTTCATTCTAACAAAAACTCAGAACAACCAAGGCTCACATCACTTCAGATGAATTATGTTCTTTCTCCCTTACCTTCTTACTAAAGAGGTAAGTATAATAAAAATGCCTGCTCTCATCTTGTAGCTCTCTGGGGAACATGAACAAGTCACAGATTAAGTGCAAAGTGAGTGAAGAGCACACACTCACACTACATCACAGAAAACAAAATATCAAGTCAGGGTTATACATTTTAAAGTCACAGCAAGATGAGGGACAAAAGCACAGAGACTATGCAAACATATTACAGAAGAGAAGAAAGAAAATTACAACATAAAAGGGAAAAAATCAGATAGACAACCCAATCTCAAAGAGAGTCTAAAAGAAGAAAATGCCCTATAAGTTCTTGCACTAAGAACTTAATGAATTCAAGTTACATAAAAACAAAGAACTAGACAAGCTAAGAAAAAACTGAGGACCAAATAACACCATTACAAAAATAGTTTAGCTCAAAATAGAAGAAAGGCTTGAGATAAAAAAAAAATTAATATATATGAAAAAGTAAAAAGATTAGAATAATATGAGACTAGAATAATATGTGCCAATTAGAATAATATGTGCCAAAAGCACAGGCAACCAAAGGAATATGAAAGACAAAAACAATCCAACGTAAGACAGTTAATCTTCCTGAAAAAGAACAGAATAAAATAACCTAACTGAATAGAATAATACCTTAAAAAATAGTATGGTAGGATTTCTCGGAAATGAAGAGCAGAACCTTCAGTTTAAAAAGGAATAACAGTGTTCCAAGAAAAACCAATACAGAATAATAAAAATCTAGAGATATCCTGGTTATCAAATTTTTTTAAAAAGTCTTTAAGTATTTCAGAAGTAAATGAGGAAGGGAAATTAAGCTAGCCTCAGATTTCTCAACAGCAAAGTTCAATGCCAGAAAATAGTGTCTAAGGTAAACAAAACATGACCCAAGAATAGGATACACAGCCAAGTTGTCTTTCAAGTATAAAGACTATAGACATGATTCATAACGTGTCAAACATAGGGAACATGGAGAGACCACATGCCCTGTGGTGCCGCCACACGACCCAGCAGCCTGGCCCAGTGCGCAGAGCAGGGAGATGTCCAGCAGGGGAGGCGGAAGCTCTGCAGAGACCACACGCCCTGTGGTGCCAGCACGTGACCCAACAGCCCAGCCGAGTGCATGCTGACCAGAGGTGGCTCCCCGGTGAGGTCCAAGACCCAAGGCAACCACACACACAAGGCACTAGTGGCCAAATGAGCAGACACTGAGGTAACTATACCAAATTGGCAACCCCAGCAACATCCTAGCCAGACAATAGTGTCAAACCAGTGGACTGTGAAACCCCCAGCCACAATGACTAAACATCAAAGGAAACATACCAGAAATATAAAAAATCAAGAAAGTACACCACCAAAGGGTAATAACTCTCTATTTCTAGATCCTATAGAACAAGAAGCCCTTGAAATGTCTAACAAGGAATTTCGAGTGATAATTCTAAGGAAACTGAATGAGATACAAGAAAACTCAGCTAGACAACATGATAAAACGAGGAAAAGTATACAGGACCTGAAGGAAGAAATGTACAAGGAAATCAATGTCCTGAAAAAGAATGTAGCAGAGCTTGCCAAACTGAAGAATTCATTCCACGAAACAAAAAACACAACAGAGAGTTTAACCAGCAGGCTTGCGGAAGTTGAAGAAAGAACTTCGGACTCTGAAGATGGGCTGTTTGAAATAACACAGGCAGACAAAAAAAATAAAATAAAAAAGAATTAAAGGCATTGAAGAAAATCCGAGAGATATCAGACAACCTTTAGCGCTCAAATATCCGAGTCATGGGTATTCCAGAAGGGGAGGAAAAAGGAGATTGCATTGAAAACACATTCAACAAAATAGTGGCAGAAAACTTCCCAGTTATTGGAAAAGACACAGATCTTCAGATTCAGGAAGCTCAAAGATCCCCAAACGTATTCAACCCAAAAAGGTCTTCTCTAAGACATGTTATAGTCAAATTGGCAAAACTCAAAGACAAAGAGAGAATTTTAAAAATTGCAAGAGAGAAGCGTCAAATCACCTACAAAGGAGCCCCAATCAGACTAACATCAGACTTTTCATCACAAACCCTAAAAGCCAGAAAGGAATGGGATGATATATTCAAAATACTAAAAGACAGAGATTGCCAGCCAAGAATACTCTACCCCACAAGGCTATCCTTCCAAAATGAAGGCTAAATAGTATATTTCTCAGACAAACAAAAACTGTGGGAGTTCACTACCACATGACCACCCTTACACGAAATTCTCAAGGTTGTACTGGGTTTAGTACCTGAAAAATAACTATCACTGCCATAAAAACCCAAGAAAAATCAAAACCCACTAGTATAATAAAAATGGCATTCA